CTGTCACATATCATTTACTGTTGCAGATACGATTCGTACATTTGCGACACAATTACTGCATCATGGGATGTGTTTAGATAAAAGTTATTGTTTCTGTTATCTATACATACCTACTCATTTAATAAAATTGTAACTAAGTCGAATCTGCATCTTAAATATTTTTTGGAAAATCTTATTGAAATAAACATTATTATTGATACAGAGGCCGAATCTATAGTTTTTAGAATTTTTGTCTGTCTGTTACCGCATCACAGAAAAACCACTGGAGGGATTTTAATGAAATTTGGTATGATGATAGCAGGTTATACGAGTAAACATATAGGATACTTTTTACCGCGGGAAAATATCTCATTTCTGAAAAAAAAATACAAAAACTGCATTTTTGGTCTTAAGTCATCTGAACGCGGGCGGAGCCTCAGGCAATGCTAATTATTTATATGTTAAATATTGAATACCAGTAAATCCCTTTTCCCACTATTTATATATTTTTACTAAATACAACATTAAACAGTAGCGTATATTCAAAGGCATTTTAACCGATTTCAAAAATCGATTTTTTATGATCATGATTTTCATTTCATTCTTTTCTTGATAAATAGTTATACTATAATCCATACTAATATTACAAATGTGACAGTTTGTGAGGATGGATGGATGTTTGTTACTCTTTCACGCCGCAACAGCTGAACAGATTTGGATGAAATTTAATACAGAGATATATTATAGTCTGGAATAGAACATAGGTTATTTTTTATTGGGATAAATTTGTTTCTGTCTAGTTACGAACCCGAACCGAAGCGAAGGTAAGTTGCTAGTCTTATATAAAAAAGTATTTTTTAATTCTTTCATATATATAGAATGATTGTTTTTTATATATTTATGACATAAGAAACCCACCATATTTAAACCACATCCTTTATTAAAATTAAAATAATAGAAATTTCAATAAAACCACAATAATCATAGTCACATGCAATAAAAGGTTTCTAACATCATTAACGTTTGACTTACAAATTCAGGGGATCAAGGATCAATAAAAAGCACGTAATTAGGTTCTTAACCCTTCTCAGTTTTCAGATCAATGCTACGTTTACGCGCAACTATATGTTTTTAAGCACCACTGTCTAGACTGGCCTGCACTTTATTGATCGTGATGAAACTTCTCTTACGACGACATTTTATTTTAAAACGCGTATCATTGTAATAATTATAAATTTACAACTAGAGTAGTGGCCTTTGTAGTTGCCCTACTTGCTATGCCCCACCCTACTTGGTCGCGGGTTCGAGTCCCGCTGGGGGCATTCATTTGTGTGATGAGCACGAATGTTTGTACTTCAGTCATGGGTGTTTATATTTATAATATACTCGTATAGATATTTATATAAAGTTATATATGTGTAGTGTATCAACTAGCTGGTATCAATAACACAAGCCTCGTAGCTTACCATGGAAAAAGATGGCGTTGTGTGTTAATGTCCCAACATATTTATTTATCAAAAAACAAATCTATCCCACGGGAAACGTCCATATTTCGAAATAAAAAGTATCTTATTTGTAATTCTGTGTATTTCTTTCTCATTAAAATCCAATCAGTAGTTTTTGTGTACTAAGCTGTATAAATTACTATAGTTTTATAACTATCCCACGGGAACTCTTTAATTTTCCGGGATGAAAAATATCTAAAATGTTGACCGGGGATATAAGGTACCACCATGCAAAATTTCATTTAAATCAGTCCAACAGCTTCGGATATTAGCCCGTACAAACAGACGAACACAAAAATTGAAAAAAAAAACTGGATTTGTTCTATTTCCCTTCTTACATCCACCTGACTCGGTTTTTAGCAAAAAAAAAATCTATGTACAGACATTCGACCTCTACAATTTTATTATATGTATAGATGTAAAAATTTGTATATGTGTATGTTTATTACTCCTATATGCTAAAACGACTAGGCAAATTTAGATGTAACTATACTAATGTGTACTGTTAGATACGAAGCTAGAGTAAGTCGTTAGTACTGTTTATAATAGTTATCTCATTATACAATGTATTATTTTTTTCCACTTAAAAAATTAGCATATAACACTTAGTATATTATTCAATTATATTGATATTAGTTTAATATTTATATTAGTTTATATATAATAATCGGCACTGCCTAAAAATATGGAACGAAATAGTTACTTCTCATACTCTCCTCTACACGTAAGAAATAAACAAAAGAAGTAAGCTTAAAAGCCTGCTCAGTGCTGCTTTTTACTTATAATGTTAAATTTAACAGTACCGACTTACGCTTGTTTCGTACCAAACAAGTAGCTTTGTGTTTGCTTTGTTCCAGGAAAGTCTGTGTATTAAATTTTTATCAAAATCTTTCCACACGTTTGATGAGATGAAATAACAAACACCTACGCAAATACAAACTTTCGCATTTATTTGTACATATAGGTACGAGTATATAGTCATTTATCAAGACGCCCATTGAAATTTCTTTCTTTTTTTCAATTAGGCCAAGTCCAGTCATGGTTCAAGTGGAGTGGGCAGAAAGATGCGGACCACATGTGCCGCACACAATAGGCCAAAAACGAATAAAAAAACTTGCATCACAAGAGATGAATATTTTGTAAGGCACGTTTTGTTTTTGTAAGACGTTGTTTTTGGCATTATTGCAACACTTGTAGTTATTTTTAAAGTAGCTGTCGCCCACATTTTCTATATTTGGACTTTGAAATTCTTTCTTCACTGTGCTACAGGTACTTATCCTTTCAGGCTTTAAAAATATTACTTTATAAAACCCAGTCTAAAACACTGTTAAGCTAAGAACAAACTATGAATAACATATAGAGAATAGAAACCTGTAATAAAAGGCAGTAAAGTTTACGATTTCGTTCGTTAGTGCAACATAATCTCAGTAACTAAGCATTCCGCCAAGTTTCAGCTATAACCTAGACAATAAACAACAAAATGGCAGTAACAACAATAATGTTGGAATAAAACAAACAAAACGAAAGTCGGCCAATACTTGCCTACAAATTGTTCGCAATCAATTTTATTATATTAAATTATAGGCATCATGACTGAGACAATTTTAAACATTGCAAAGCTTTCACTATTGCACTCATATAATACTATTAGCCTTCGCCTCTCGCCTCGCTTAAGCCTTAATGAAGTTCTACATTGTTTTTCAGTTACTTTATATGAAATATAGTAGCATAATTATTTACTATAACGTAAGTCCGCACTAACAGTTATGCTACTATTTTTCCTTATACTTACTGCCAATACATTTTGGTTTACAGTTTTGAGCGGAATAAAAGTGTCACTGTAGTGACGGTACGTATCATCACTACCTTATACTGCTTTTGTGACTGATTTAGAACATTGATATCAAATCTTGAATAATACCTAAACAAAATATTATACTATATTATAATATATTATTATTCATATTAAAACATTATTTAATTTACTTATGAAAATTAACCGAAGCAGATAAAAACACTATCAAAATAGGAAGCTGTAATATTATCTAATTTTAAACTCCAATGCCAATGAACACAAAGCGATGCGACAAATCCTAAGCCAAATTAGGAACAAAAAACGAGACACGTTCGAAATTTAATAGTACACCAGCCTCTTACCATCTAACTAGTGATCTACATTTCCAAAACGTTGATATGAAAAATCAACTATTGTTTAAATATTTTATCAACTGAGTTGACGTTTATCTGATATATGACGATCTACTCTCGCATGATCCATCATAAAGTTGTCAACTGAATCAAATGGCTATTACAAAAGGTACATACTTATACTTGATGGGAAAATTCTATTAAATCATCCCTATAATGTAAGAATAAAAATATATTTACATACTCTGCTTTGTTTCTACTACATGTTTACTATTAAATCTATACATATAATAAGATTGTAAATAAGCCGAATCTGTATGTTAAATATTTTTTGGAAAAACTTATTGAAATAAACATTATTTTCGATACAGAGGCCGAATTTACAGTTTTTAGATTTTTTGTCTGTCTGTCTGTTACCGCATCACAGAAAAACCACTGGTGGGATTTTGATGAAATTTGGTATGGTGATAGCTGGTTATCCGGGTCAACATATAGGATACTTTTTACCGCGGGAAAATATATCATTTCTGAGAAAAAATACAAAAACTGTAATGTAAGGGTATACTAATATGTAAAGCCGAAGAATTTAATTTTTGGTCATCTGAATGCGGGCGGAGCCGCGGGTAATGCTAGTGGACTAATAATTTAATAGTGTTAAGAAACTTTACATATTTAGCGAATTTGACACATCAGTACGGAGATTTTCTAGACTGAATGAATCTGAATATGTAAATAAAATCTCTTAGCAGTAGCACTATTAAATTATTATTAGTAGATACCTATCTACTTTCTAAAAAATATTCATACTAATAATTATTTTTTAAACCATTTTACCAAACCTTACACACCAATCTTATCACTAACTGCTACTTAATCTTTTTTTAAAGCATTTCTAATGAAACTCCATTTCGACTAATTCTTACAACAATTAGACCATATCACTAAGAGGGCTTTGGGTTTGTTACCTGTTTGTATACACTATTGTTTTTAATTTCTATGAAATACGAAAAATTGTTCTATTACCATTTCTCTATTCGGTTACAGTTAACCGGTTTTTAACATAACAATTGCCACCTGACTTATGCAATCTGACCTATGAATTATTATTTGAATGCTTAAACAATGCATCTACATGATCTCTTGAGTCTTACTTAGAGATATTTTACACAAATACATGAGAACATAGTCGTTTTAATTCCCGATTTTGTTTATAAAAGTTAAACGTACTATACATGACTATACTATACAATGACTTCAACAGAAAAAATATCCACATAAATTACAATAAGTTACGTATAGACAAACATATGTAAAAGCGAACGCCAAAACCATAAAGTAACCTTACATAGAAACACATGACATACTCACTGTGACCAATACTCCTCCCAGTTTTTGTCCCTCGTGGATCCATACCCTCGAGGCAAAGTTGCAGTTTTCGATTTCCCATTAAGCGATGCTGTATCCCTTTTATCTGGTAGACTCATGACCGAGTGCCGCTGAACGGGCTCAGATCTGAACGATTGAAACGAAATCTGAGATGCTGCATCATCAGATTTTAAGCTTGTTTGCGATCCTCTCAGACCATTCTGTGTTAAGTTAGTTTGACCGTATTCATTTCTATAGTGTTCCAAATTGGCATTATCGCTATTTATTCTGTTTAATTGGGGTCTCGGCAATGGACGCCTGTACTCGAAACTGTCAGCTTTATTGACAGAGGAGGATCGTTTCATTTTCGGCGACTCCTGCACATTCATCAAGGACGGCATCTTTGATTCCTTCTCCAAATCGATCTCGTGTTCGATCTGCGTTTGCACATGCGCTAACATTTCCTCCAGATCGCCCAGATCTGGGTTTAAATTCATTTTCATCCGACGCATTTTCACTAAACACACAATTAATAGGTTCTTTGGGGATGTTAAAGGCACTTACACAATTAAAACATTTTTTCCGCAAAGAACGTGCGTTCTTACCGAAGGCCGGTCGGAAACTGACAGTGTATTAAGTATGGCATAGTTATCAGTTGACGCTAACCTCAATACGCATCACCAGTTATCATTTGACATCCGATATTAGATAAATGTTGTTAAAAATATCTATTTTCGTTTATACGCTTAACCTATGGGCGAAAGAAATTTTGAATTATTGATTTATATGCGTATAGCACAGTGATCGATCACATCGAGTGTTTACATAATGTGTACTGGGGGTAGGTAACAAGTATTATTTATACTTAGTTCTTTAAAGGTTTTTTTACGCTAGCCTTGAATTGGTGCGAAAGAACGTAATTTCCTATTAATAGGACAAAGTAGAAAGGTGAAGGTATCTTAGTGATGTGTAAAAGGCATCGCTGTAAATTCTTAAGAGTTGTGTTTCTTTATCTATACATATAATAAAATTGTAACTAAGCCGAATCTGTACATTAAATATTTTATGAAAAATCTTATTGAAACAAACATTATTATCGATACAGAGGCCGAATCCATAGTATTTGGAATTTTTGTCTGTCTGTTACCGCATCACAGAAAAACCACTGGAGAGATTATGATGAAATTTGGTATGGTGATAGCTGGTTATCCGGGTCAATATATAGGATACTTTTTATTCCGGGAAAATATCTTATTTCTGAGAAAAAAATACAAAAACTGCAATGTAAGAGTATACTAATATGTAACACCTAAGAATTTGGTTTTTGGTTAACCGAACGCGGGCGAAGCCGCGGGCAATGCTAGTTGTATATAAAACATTACTCTAGGTAATAGGTATCATATTATCGTGACGAATTAAATAACGATGTGTTGACATCGATTAGGTTTAACTGCACTATTATTCATAAATAGTAATACTGTACATAAAAAAAACTACAGATTAATCTATATTCTATAGTCTATACAGATAAATAAAATTGAAGTGTCTGTTTATCTCGAATCATATCGAATCTACAAACACCGTCGCAAATCCGATTCTTCTATCACTGAGTTATAAAGACAAAATATCACCCTACAATCGACTATCAATTTATATATGCATTGGGCACAAAGAACTTCCTAATTAAGAGTTCCTTAGTATTTATGAAACCAGTACATTGTTCGAACTGTATTACTTAATTGGAAGTAACCGGCCTATTATTCTCGGATTACTAAATATAAGACAGAATAAACGCTTAAAGATCGACATCAAGCTCAGTGGTGAAGAAGTACGACGGAATGCCACGTGGATGGTTATAAGTTCGATTATCACATACTAGTTACTCACCCTCGCTTCGCTAAGGTTCGTCCCTGGGTTTCTTCCCCGTACAAACTTTCACCCCCTTAAGGGATGATTTCCGAGGTAAAAACTATCCAATGTTCTTTCCAGGGTCTCTTAACAAATTCCGTCTAAACCGGTTCAGTAGTTTCGGGGCCTATTCGATACAAACATACAAACCAAAAAAACTATTTTCCTCTTTATAATATTAGAATAGATGAAAACTTACGCAAATACGAGTAGAATAGTGAAATGGTCATTAAAAAAACATTATGTGTTATCGCGACCACGTTCCGCGGACATGTGGACTGTAATAAAAGTTATATCTGAATATATGAAATGTGAATAGCACTATAGAAAATGCAATTTTAGTTCTAAACTAGAAACGAATAACTTACTTTCTACCTTATTACGGGCAGTCATGTCATATAAAAAATACCTATAAAAATAACAATATGGTAGCTGTTTCGTGGTGTAGTCGTTCTAAATTCTCATAATATTTTTTTAAAATAAATTCAAAATATATAATATCCCATAATCATGTAGTTCCTATGGTTATTTACAAGAGCTTTAGGTTCTTAACTTACGATCGTTACAAAAATATTTTGTCTGTATATTTACTTAACTAATTTTTTATTTTTAGTTGCTAACTTTCGATAGAGCGGTATCGATTTTTATTTGGATTTTTGCTTACAGAGAAACAATTTAGGCAATAGGGACACTTTTATTACGACAAAGATAAGGAACAGAAAAAAATCGGCTTGATCAATTATAATGAAGCTTTACCTGGCTTAGCCAATTAACCAGAAACTTAAGCTACTTTTTATTCCGAAAACAAAGAAAGATTGTGTCGTGGGAATAGAAATTTTATGAGGTTTAATGGAATTTGTAAAGAATTTATAGAAAATACCAAAGATACTATATGTTATCTGTTTAGGTAACCATTTATTACAAATACAGTCATGATACATCCCTACATCACAAAACCATAAATAGACGCTTTGATCATATTATTTTCTAAATCATATAATTTGAAATTTCTCATAACAAACGACTTGATACTGATCACACTTCATCGTTTACTTCCAACCACCTGCTGGCCAATCGAAACAATATAACGGTCAATGCGCGCGCGTCGCAGTCACAAGAATTAATTGAAGGCAAAATCTTTTGCGTTGCAATTACGAGTATATACACTGCTACCTGCACTATAATAACGAGATAAAATTGTTTTGAACGTATGGAAAATCTCTGGAACTATAAAACAAATTCTAAAAATTATAACACTAATAGAAAATAACATGATACTTTCTTAATACATGCTCATTTTTATCGACGTACGTTTATCCATACATTCATAAACACATTTAATTTTGATCATTAATTATAATATTTCACTGCAAAAAATGTTTTGAGACGTAAACGCGACCGTGATTGCCGTAAAGCATTTGAAACGTCTGTCGAGAACCAAAAAGAAAGCGCAAAGACTCAAAAATATAGTTTTATCTAAAATGTCAAATATTTGTATAAATCTAAGTATTATGCAAAATAATGTTAATTGATATACTTTGAATCATATTATTGAAATTCCAATTTTCCTATACCGTGCGTCATATTTTCATGAATTGAATGTTTAAGGATATGTTTTTTCCTGTACAGATATCAACTTCTTACCCAAACTTTTAGTAACTTAAAAAAAATATAATAAAGCCATTAGCAGATTTTTAATATAAGTCGCTGAAAATGATTCTTTTGTAAATTAATTTCCTGTTTGATATTTGTGGCTTTTAGTCTATTTTGTTCTACTGACACGTAGTCAGTAGAACAAAATAGACTGCAGCTCTAATGTCACAAAGAATGGGAAACTCAACAATAAAACTAAAAAGAAATATTTTAAAATAAATTATTACAAAAGCTACGCTAAATTAACTTTTATATGGTAATTATATTGTTTGAATAATCAATATAATTACCAAATAAAAGTTTACATAAAAAATTTCATATAAATAATATAAATATATTCTTGCGTAGGTACTATTATCCCTGATAACCCTCGTAATGAAGGGAGGCACACTTCCAGCAGTGGGGCGTTGAAAAGGGCTGATTCAGCCTTCTATAATAAACAGTATTTTGTATTCACAAAATTCTTTTTATTATAGAAGGCTATCCAACATGACGCTATGATCTTTAGAAGCGGAACATATATGTACATAAAAAAATACAAGAGCGTAGCCGCGGCCAAACCTTATATAATCTCATATCGTATACAACCTGGCAGTACACCAACGATACTAAAAATTTAACTTATAAAAGACTTTTTTTCACAGATACCAAGCAAAACCGCGAGTAAAAACTAATCATCTATAATAAAATAAACACAGACAGACACGAGTGGTCATCGCTATCTCCATTAAGCATTAGCACAGAGTCATAAACAAAATTTAATCCTTTTGATATCTGTAGAACAATTGTCTCCACTCATTGCTTTAATGGGCGTCCTTAATAGACATAGATTTGTTCATTTCATTTACATTAATCAAACTGTCGCCGCTGATCGCTTACAAACGTTTATCAAACAACTTGGTATTATAGCTAATATAATATGTAGTCTAGAAGTTTAGTAGGTACTTCACTAAATCGTAGACTATATTGTGCTCAATGAAATTAAAATTGAATTATTTAACCTATTTGGCTATTACCAGAGTTTAATAGCTATCATCATACCAAATTTCATCAAAATCTGTCCAGTGGTTTTCTCGTGATGCGTTCATAGACAGGCAGACAGACAGACAAAAACTCTAAAAACTATAGATGTAATGTACGGTTCCTGTGGGATAAATTTGTGTTTGTTTTTAGTTTATATATAAATTTAATAAATCAAATAAAACTGCAATCAATCTACATAATGTATGTACATCAAAACAATTATACGAGTAGGTATGCATATAAGAATTTCAAAGTTGTGATTTAGAAATCTTGAAACAAATGACTAAGCCTCGACCTGCTATTAACAAATAACAGCGTTATATTTGATCATTTAATTTCCATCCATCAGCTTGTCGCTAATCGCTCAGGAACGCTAACAAGAGACAATGGTATCTTATTACGTATTAACGTACAGTGGTAGCTCTTAAAACTTATGATTAATTGCATTTAAAACTGTTTTGATTCGAGTGATATTTATTTATACGTAGGTATATTTATCACAATGGAAGATAAATGGTCCACTCTTTAACTTTAGCTGAGCTTATTTTGATTAGATTAGTCTGGCTTGATAAATTATAATAAATATGTTTGCTTTTAAAATAATCACTTCTAGATATTTTACGCGGTTATCTATACATATAATAAAATTCTGAGTCGAATCTGTACATTAAATATTTTTTTGAAAAATCTTATTGAAATAGTCATTATTATCGATACAGAGGCCGAATCTATAGTTTTAGAATTTTGTCTGTCTGTCTGTCTAGGAACGCATCACAAGAAAACCACTGGACAGATGTTGATGAAATTTGGTATTACATACATAGCCAGTTATCCGGGTCAACATACAGGATACTTTTAGGTAAAGTGCGGGAAAATATTTAATCTCTAAGAAATGTAAACTAACTCTTAGAAATCGCAAGTTATTATA